GAAACCCAGCCAACAGCCCCAGGGAACACAGTTCTACTCAGAAACAAATACCGGGGCTGCATGAATAGGACCAGGCCCAAAGGCCACGAGTTATCAGAACTCTTGGGACATGCAGACTTGTGGTTAGAACCATTTATGTGAGTGACTTGTGTGTATGGAGATGTCTATTCCACTAACAATTGTTAACTACTGGAGGACGGAAACCATGTTTGATAGTCACTTTTGTAGTCCCAAATAATGGCTGTGTTGACGTAAAACGAAGAGAACATAGGAACCGGAACCGACAAGAAAGAACTCTGGCCCTGAAGTCATAAAGGAGGGGCTTAAGACTGAGGGCAGAGACCACAACCACTCTACCTACAGTTTTATTTTCTACACACAGATCTAAGGCATCTGTCCATGGATCCTATATTGTAGGTGGCTTACAAACATCCTTCTATCCGTGAAGCTTGCATTGGTCTTGCTCTTAATTTCCCAATGCTACTCCTATCCTCTCATATGCTTTTGCTTTTGGCATTTCATCAGGGGAAGAGAGTTTGCATTCTACCCCTGACCAAAGTGTCTTTCTGGAGACCCACATTCCCACGACAACTTTATCTGGACAAGTAGATGTACAGGAATATTCTCACCTGATTTTTCTGATGCCCGGTCCACAGCTCTTTCCTGAGTTGGCCCCTGTGCTGGAGTTTACTGTCATCGATATGGTGAATTACATAATCTAAGTGCAGGCAATGTGTCGAAATCCACATAGGACAAAGAGAAAGCCCCTGACTTGGAATGCGCAGTTCTAAGGCAGGAAATTATTTCAGAGGGCAGGAAGTAGCTATGAGCTTTTCCTCCATGCAGTACTTCAGTTTCCCTACCCTTAGCGAAAGATTGTCCCAGTGTTGTTTGAATCCAACAGATGCAAAACAATTAGAGTAAGGGAACAGACAACTAGAGGAAATGTTAACCACCTGTTTATGCTGACTTGCACCCAACGAGACTGGCCACCAGCTGTTCAGGAGTAACACGTGTTCAGGTGGGAGCAGGAAATGCCTAAAGTTAGTTTGCAGCTTTCTGGTGTTTGGGGAAAAACAACAGAACAAAATGAGAAAAACAAATAAACAATGAACAAAAAACCAAAACAGTGCCTATATAGCACACAGTCAGTCTCAAGAGGGCCAGGAAGCAAAGGCAAAAGAAAAACAAAACAATCCAGACTCACTGTCATGAAGTCAACTCGCAGTGACCCTATAGCGGGGGGCAGAACTGCCCTGGTGGGTTTGCAAGGCTGTCAATCTTTCCAGAAACGGAAAGCTTCATCTTGGTCCTGAGGAACAGGTGGTGGGTTCAAACTGCCGACCTTGTGGTTAACAACCTACCCGTAAAGGCAAGAGGACGTGTACTGCTCACTGCATCAGCTTTGTACACACATGACGTGGAACACGGGTGGCTGGAGATGAACTGTGAGTTGCATACTGTGTCCATTCTCTCCTTGTTCTTTATTCAAACCTGTAAACTGTTGGGGGTGGGTGGAGCTAATGCCCAATCAGAGAGGAATTTCTCCGCCTCCCTTACGAGTAGAGGTGGCCATGTGACTGAGCTCTAGCTGGTGAAATGCACGTGGAAGAGCTGAGTGTGAGTTCCACGAGGGCTTAAAGTGAGGCGAGCCAGCTCACAGGCTTGTCCATTCTGACTCTGCCCTCGTTTCTTCTTCAGGCTGCCAGGAATTTCAAAGTGATGGCTGATTGTCAAGTGGCTATTTTAGACCACAAGGTGACCTTGAGAAAGGAACCCTGTTCTAGTGCAGCCCAGAGCCTCCCTGTGAGTCTGGAGGCGTCTCCCTTCTGAAGGGAGACACTTTTTTGCATGAAAGAGACACTCTTCTTGGTGGCGATGTTGCTACTTTGGGTTTCTGTTAAATGCATCAGACTTAAGCATACCTGAAGCACCAGTCACTCCTGGCACTCATTAACAGGCACTTCCTAACCCACAGAGCAGGCTCAGTTCCGCTGACAACAGTGTAGGAGAGCTGAGGCAGGCGTTATGTCTGAAGAGGAAGTTGGAGTTGACATGAAGCAACACTTGCTCAGTGTTACACAACTGACTACTTGGAAAGCACGGCTAGGGGAGCTAGATTACTGTATCCTTTGGATGGTAAAGGCACGTGGAAATAGGTGGCAGATTTCCTTCCAAAAGGATTCTGATTCATTACGCAGTGGTTACTTTAAAAACAAGTATTTAGGCACAATTTCTCTTTGCTGTCAAAAGAGCTCTCGTCAAAGGGGCTGTAGGCACTGACTTTGTAACAACCAAGAATACTACTGCCATATTAAAATAAATTACAACTCACTGTATTGTTATTACATCAAAAGGATAGATTTCTGAAACAGGTTAAGACCCAATCTGAATAAGCAATTAGTAAAATGAATGTATTACTGTTTGAAAAGCAAAAAGACTTGATGATTAATGTGGAGTTGACAAAGTTTTTAAGGCAAAAAGACAGAGGTAGAATTCTCTACAACCTCGCACCCCCCACCCCCCATCACAATGCAAGTAAAATGAAACCAAGTGATTCCCCAGGCCTAATAGCTCACACAGACCACACAACCTTCTCTCACCTGAGATCAGATGAACTAGAGGGTGCCTGGCCTCACTATTGACCATTTTGCCCAGGGTGCATACACAATAGAAGTTCCTGGACAGAGGGGGTGAAAAATGTAGAACAAAACTTAAGATTCCTAAAAAAAGGCCAGCCTTACTGGATCGACAGAGACTAGAGCAGTGAGTTCTCAACCTGCGGGTTGCAATCCCTTTGGGGGTCGAACGACCCTTTCACAGGGGTTGCCCGATTCAGAACAGTAGCAAAATTAGAGTTATGAAGTAGCAACAAAAATAATGTTATGGTTTGGGGTGGGGGGGCCACCACAACATGAGGAACTGTATTAAAGGGTAGGAAGGTTGAGAACCACTGGACTAGAGGAACCCAGAGTCCAGTGCCCTAAGATAATTTACACTTGAAATTACTTATTTCTGCAGGTCACTTTTCAGTCAGATAATCGCATGGCGTATGCAAATATCACTCATGAGTAGTGAGTGAGTAGTGCACTCCCTTATACAATGAACTGCAGGAGACCAAGGGGTCAACATTTACTCACCAAGAAGCAAAGACGGGAAGGTAAAGAGGGAAGGAGGTGCTAGAACAGCAGAAACAGAATGGCAATAACGAGCACAACAGCTCCAAAAACTGTAACCGATGACACACAACTTTGAATAGGGATTGTTCAAGGGGAACCCAATTGCTACGTAAACTCTTACTGAAAGCATCATGAAAGGCTATTTAAAAAACAAACCAGCTAGATTCAACATAGAAAAGTTTTAATGAGGCAAATGTCAAGCAAGCATATTCAATGTCTTAAAAAACAACAAAAATCTAAAAGTTTAATTACAAAACACTTGTACAGAAAACTTGGCATTTCAACAGTTCCAAACACGTGTACACAACTTTTTTTCTCCTAAAATTTACCTTTTCAGAAATAAAACACCTTGTCCCCGTCTCTCAGCGCTCCTGTGGTGTCTTCAGAAGTAATCACAACAAAGGAACCCTGTAACACTGAATAGGCAACACCACACTTCTTGCAGAGAGCACCGCAGTGCAAACCCAGGCTTCTCAAGGAGGACAGGTTATCTACAAGGTTACTGGGGAACATGGGCTCGGTAGTGTGCTGGCTGGAGCCTAACTGACCACTTCCTTGTTGAGCACAGAGAACAGGGGCAGCAGGATCTGTTGGGCAGAATCTGATAGTTTTGTGGCCGCTGAAATCCCACCCTCCAGTGGAGCAGGTAGGTAGCTACGAGGAAAGACAGCATTTCCAAAGAGGCTGCTGACTTTCTGGAAAGGGTTTCAAGACGGCAGGCTCTCCTGAGATCTCGTGTAGCCTGAAAAGTCAAGGAGTGCTATCGAGAGTCAAGAGAATGATGATCTTTGGACCAAGTCACAGCCTTTCCTGGTTACAATAGCATTGCCAAGACAGATCTTAAGAGGAAGACAGACAGACACACGCGTCTGGGGCAGCTTGGACTGTCCTTCTGCCAGAGACACTGAGTTCTAGTGTGGTCTTAGCAGGCAGTCTGGAAGAAATGGAAGGAACGACAGGGGAGAAAAGGAACTGCAAGACATTACAGAGAACTGGCACACTGCCTAGGTGTCTAGCAATGACAGAGAGGCTGAATGGCTGAGTGGTGATTTGTAGGATGTAGCACACAGAAATGGGATGTGCGCTCATATGACATTAAAAAAACTGCTGTCATTTTCCTTTAGGCAAATAAAGAATGAGATGAGGAGAAGCTGAAAGGCAGGGTGGTATAGCACCGTGACAAGGTCTCTGGCTTCCAACCTGGCTTGTGGCCTGGTGCCTGGACAATGAGCTGGGCACACTCTGCTTTGGTTCCAACGATCTCAGCTGCAACCTACAGCCTTGCGCTCTAGATCTGCCAAAGACGCAAAGGCCCTGAGGTGCGTGTGAGTCATGAGACCCTTCTTTCTCTCACTGCTCAAAATCAAAACCGAACGTCATCTGCTGAGAAGGAGAAAAGTAAAGGAAGCCTGTTCTTTGCACACAAATTCAGTGGCTAAAAAAAACATGAGAATTCCTCTGTGCCTTTATGTCAGCTCAGGCTAGCTCAAGAGACCACTCTGGATGATGTGTCCACCTATCGAAATGCGCAAATCGGGGCCCTCAAAGACAAGGGTTCCCTGTATCCGCTATGATAAACTTGGAGGCATCCCAATACCAAATGAGAAGCTACTCTTCCCTTTCTCCTGTTTACCAACGAGCCTTTCCTCAGCAAAAAATGCCTCACAAGACTTTGCCAGCAGATGGGAGTAGAAGAGTCTTACTGGGGCTAG